GGTTTATGTTGAGCTCCATTTTCATTCTGTAAAATAAAAAAAATGGCTCAGGAGTAGCAACATTTATTTCTGAGTGATGAAGTTATGGGTTCATAGAGCAGTACAGTACAGGAATGGGCCCTTTGGCCCATGATGTTATGCCAAACATGACACCATATTAAAGTAATCCCTTCTGCCTGCCCGTGGTTCATATTCTTGTTCCTTGCATATTCATGTGCTTATCTAAAAATCCCTTAAACGCCACTATCATGTCTGCCTCCGCCATTACCCCTGGCAGTGTGTTCCAGACTCCTACCACTCTCTGTGTAAAAAAAAATGGCCCTCACAGCTCCTTTGAACTTTCCCCCTCTAACCTTAAATACATGCCCTCTGGTTCTGTCCCCACTCTGAAGGTGTGAACATATGCCATGCATAATTCACCTAAGGTATTGATTGATATTCAGTTACAAAGTGGACATTGGTTCAGGTTTGTTTTCTCCAATCTCACTTGTCAACTCATATATGAAGTATTAATGCTTGGACCACCTATAGCAGTAGTTGTCAAAGTCCCAGTGGACAGTAGGACTGCTCTGTCATTAAGGAGAGATGACCGATGGTGAGTTTAATCTGAGAGCCACCACATCTCAGGAGAGGGGCAAGGTCGAAGTGGGAGGACCTTCGTGGTAACCTCAGCCAGTGTGGGAACTGAACTGCACTGTTGGCATCACATTGTATAGTAAACCACCTGTCCGGCCAACTGAGCTAACCAAACCCCCAGTATATATTGGAAAGTAACTGACAACTGCAGGAGATCGTTCCTATATTCAAGACATGAGGGGAAAGAAAACATGGAAATGATTATTTGTAAAACAACCGGATTGTTAGTCTTTCTATCAATAAACGTCTCTGATGGCAGCGTTATGAGCAAAGTTAGAAAGTGCACTATTTTAAACTAGTTCCACAACTCCACTTGTCAGAACATAAGTAAAAATGCTTTCCCCAGTTAGTGATGTGGCCAATGATATATTCTACCTATATTGGGTTTTAAATTAAAGAACCATCAACCTGATTTCTTTAGTGGCCAACAAAATTATGTATGAAATTTTCAAGATGGGCTTTTAGTCAATGTCCTAGCACATGTGGCCATGACACATGATTCAGGATAACTCCCATGACTTTAATTACAGGATTGTAGAATGCAAGGTTAATATTTATTTGTTAATATTTATCAGATTTATTGTTCAGTAAGTAATGTATGACTCACCAAAAGGCTTTTCCTGACAAGTGATGGTTAATGTTCGATACTTGCAATGGCTGGTGTTACAATAAGACACAGTAAGTTAAGATCCAGAGTACGGCTCCTTGCTCAAATGGGTTGAGTACATTCCCTACCGGCTGATTTCCCTGGAAGTTACTGGTATTTATAAATCAACAGGTTTTCGAAAAATTGTTTCACCAATGCCTCTTAGATGTACATTAGGCTTACGAAACAGTGATCTCTAACAATAGCTTATCTCTCTCAACATGAAACTTATAGATAATTTTCCAATCTCATTGCCTTGCAGAGCCTATAATCATTTTCGCACTGAGCAGCTGCGATGTTATCCATTAGCAAAGATGAGAATCTCAGTTGGCGGGGTGGGGGCTGTTGTTGGAAAACAAGAATTCCCACCCACATCGTAAAAAAACTAAATAAAAACTGAAAGAACTGCGGATGCTGTAAATCAAAAACAAAAAACAGAAGTTGCTGGAAAAGCTCAGCATGTCTGGCAGCATCTGTGAAGAGAAATCAGAGTTAATGTTTCAGGTCTGGTGACCCTTCCTCAGTTCTCATGCTGCCAAACCTGCTGAGCTTTTCCAGAAACTTCTGTTTTTGCTATAAAAAAAATCTTACCTCACCCAGTGCTTTCTCAAATTACCTCGGTATCGTCATGAAAAGTTTAATTGCATTTCAAATTTGTAAACCATGACCCTATTATTGTACCACATTTATCAGAGTATTTTGTGATTTTTACCCTTTGGAATGCTTTCCAATAGTTTATTCACACATCAAGCTTCCTGAGTTGTCCCACATGCCCTTTTTAAATAATTCCCGAAAAGCAGGTGACATATTTTGCTAGCTACTTCTGTAAGTGCCTTTGCCACATGACCAAACAGACCTCCTTTGTCCTAAGCCACGTGGTGACCAGTGCCTGAGCAACCACTGCCAAGGACTCTGCATTCATCCCAGAACCTTTGTGCTTGGACACCATGGAAGCAAATGGTGAATGATGTCAGATTCTGGCTCAATTCCTGCAATTTCTGCCATGATCTCACCGAATGATGGAGCAGACTCAATGGGCTGAATGGCCTACTTCTGCTCCTGCGTCTTATGGATCATCAGGTGAGAATGCACCAGACAATTTGGGCTGGTTATCTGCACTCCTAACATGCACGGCTTCCATCAGATTTCAGACGCTACAACTCAGAGAGGAAAACAAACATCTTCCCTCCCTAACTGCTTTTAGAAAAATGGATTGTGATTTATACTCATGTCAAGCAAGTTTGAATCTGAGTCATCCAACATAAATCAGTTTAATTCGTATTGATTAAGAACCCATTCAGTTATCAACAAGAATGCAGTACAGCGTGGCTCATAATTAAATCTCGAGTGTAATAAGAACTGACAAGGCACAATTATGTATTAATAAGAGCTAGTAAAGTGAGGAGACTGAGTTCTCATGTTCTTAACTTCACTGCCTGCCAGGGTGCTGGAAGCGGATGGAACAATAACTTCCAGTTGAGGATGTGGGGAAAGGGTGGGGAATTGAGACTAAATAGATAAGTCACTGGATAAGTCAATAGATACAGAAGCCTGAAAATCCACACAAGCAGGTTCGGTAACAGCTTCTTCCTGGCCGATATCAGACTGATGAATGGACTGTCTAGCCTCAAATAATGCTGAGCTCATTAACATTGATCTCACCTAGCGCACGTCCTGTGCAATGTAATCTGTATGTCTCTGTCTAACTCTTTTTGATCCGTACATCCTTTGCTTACTATGATCTGCCCGCACTGCTCGTAAACAAAGCTTTTCACTGTACTTAAGTACACGTGACAATAAATCAATCAACCAATCATTCAAAGCCACAGTGCATTGAATGGCGCCCCCCTGCGCAGTCAGATTGTATGATTTACAAAAACAGTTCGGACTGATATAGCACCTTTAACGCAACAACATTTAACCAGGCACTTTACAAGAGTATTATAAAATAAAACTTTACGCCAAGCCATTTAACAAGTCACAATGATAAAGTTTCAAAAACTCACTCAAAGAGTGAGTTAAGGAGGGTCTGAGAAGAGTAACAGCGAATTAGAGAGGGAGTGCCAGAGTTTAGGGTGTAAGAGGTTACACTTAGGCTACAGTGATGGAACAATTAAAATCAGGTATGTTCAAGAGACCAGATTGGCAAGTCCCGAGATAGTTTAGGAGTCGCATTTGTGAAGAGTTGTCGCCGGATTCAAAAAGTTAACTCTGCTTTCTCCCCACAGATGCTGCCAGACCTGCTGAGTTTCTCCAGCAATTTCTGTTTTTGTTTCAGATCTTCAGCATGCACAGTTCTTTCAGAGATAGTAGGAACTGCAGATGCTGGAAAATCTGAGACAACAAGGTGCAGAGCTGGATGAACACAGCAGGCCAAGCAGCATCAGAGGAGCAGGAAGGCTGACGTTTCGGGCCTAGACCCTTCATCAGAAATGGGGGAGGGGAAGGGGTGTTCTGAAATAAATAGGGAGAGAGGGGGAGACGGATAGAAGATGGATAGAGGAGAAGATAGGTGGAGAGGAAACGGACAGGTCAAAGAGGCGGGGATGGAGCCAGTAAAGGTGAGTGTAGGTGGGGAGGTAGGGAGGGGATAGGTCAGTCCAGGGAGGACAGACAGGTCAAGGGGGTGGGATGAGGTTAGTAGGTAGGAGATGGGGTTGGGGCTTGAAGTGGGAGGAGGGGATAGGTGGGAGGAAGAACAGATTAGGGAGGCAGGGACGAGCTGGGCTGGTTTTGGGATGCGGTAGGGTGAGGGGAGATTTTGAAGCTTGTGAAATCCACATTGATACCATTGGGCTGCAGGGTTCCCAAGCGGAATATGAGTTGCTGTTCCTGCAACCTTTGGGTGGCATCGTTGTGGCACTGCAGGAGGCCAAGGATGGACATGTCGTCTGAGGAATGGGAGGGGGAGTTGAAATG